AAAGTGTCGTTTTCCGTGGTAGAAACGATTCAGTATGACGCAGGGGGTAGCGCTTAGAAGTGATGATTTCTGTTGGGACATCATAATATCTCGCGGACGTATAATCCCTAGATAGCCAATTGGAAGAGCGTACGGGAGAGGTCTTGTTCGGCGCCACCGCCAACTTTCTCTTCTGTTCTCGGTTCCCCGTGGACTTTGACTGAGTCGCAACCTTGTTCAGCTGTGGTTCAGACCGATACAAATCACGCCTACTTTTCTCCGTTTGTTGACTTTTAAGTGGCCTACTTCTCTGGGTCATGTCTCTCTTTGCAGTGCTTCCGGAGAGGGATCGTGAACTGGCCTGGGTATTCCAAGCTGGAGGTACATGGCCTCTTAGAGGGGAGAGGCTGGAAGACGCTTTATAGCAGGCTGGCGTGCCGAGTGCCCGTCTGCTCTGTGGTGACCGATAGAGCTGCCTTGCTTCTCGTATCCGTTGACCCCTCCCAGAAGGGGCTCCCGCGACAAATTTCCAATGCTGATTCGGTCCAGGTGGATAGAAGGGTGGACGGTCAGTGAGGGAGGCATGTCGTGTCAGCGGCGGTCGCCTGTAAAGTCCGGTAAACGAACATGCTGGTGGACTCTCGGCTCTTCTGATAGGAGGGCTGCTTGTCAACCCGAAGTATGCTGTGGGTAGAATTATGCATCCGGGTGGAAACTCTAGACTCCACTTAGTCCCATCCGTTGTTCTCGATGGCTCCAGTGCAGAGACAGAAGGTAGGTAGGGCTCAAAGGCGGCGTCTTCCAGAGCAGGAAAATCACCTGCGAATTTTACACAATTGTCTTCGTCCGCCAGACTGTCTTCTTCAATATATTGCGCGAAGGAGGCTGCAGACCCGCTGGAGGTAATTTCGCTGCTGCTCCTGATATCAATTGCCCATGGTGGAGAAAGACTTCCAGTCCACACCTCAGGAAAATGCCGTTTCTCGTAGTTTCGCGGCGGTGCATTCAGCATGTACTCGCGAGGTCTGGGTTTATCTGGTCCCGCTGAATGTGCCCTTCGTCCGTCCTCCGGTCGTTTTTTGTGAGGCTGGGTAGTTTTATCACTTGTATTGGCAGTTTTATCGCCTTTTGATGGGGTCGCCATTAGCGAAGTGTGACAAGTAGTTGAGCTCTTCGAGTGTGCTGGCTTTTCAATACCTCCTTCGCCGACAGTAGAGCGCACTCACCGTCGGGCAACAGTTAACAATTTCCATACTTTGGGCGTCACCACGCCGAAGTCCAATTGACCAACAGTTGGGCAAGGATCGGTTGGAGTAGTGTTTTAGCGTGCATGATTATTGACTACCATTCACGCGTGTGTGCTCACGTCAGTTAAGGGAATAGGGCGTTATTGCGCACCCGGTGGCCGTAATTTGCTTGAACTCGCCCTCAATGACTGGATTTGTGCGCAGATTGACTGGCCTGGCGTTTCAACCAATCCTGGTCACGCTTCCACCGTCAAGAGTTCGTGCAGTTACTCTAGGCTGTCGGTAGAGGACGACTACAGGTGAATCACATAGAGGTTCACAGTAAACGTTTAGGACGTAGGCTGCTAACAAATTCATTCGAAAGTAATTTTGATGTTTTTATCTTCACTGCCGCTTGTATACTAGACTCCACACGCCACTTGTGGGCCTTAAAGCCAAAATTCTGAGCCATTAATGTTTGCCTGTTACAAATCTCTAACAAAATGTTGAGTTAAAACGCGAACTAGTCACTTTATATATTTTGTTCCTCCTCACCGCATACCAGTTTGCGATGTTGTGTGAATCAAAAGTTTGACCTTTTGACAGCATATGGCGGACAATCTTTTTGCAAGTCACGTCTGCCATAACAGTAGTATTACGAAGCTGCAGCCAGCTTCCGAAAGGAATCAGCCAAACTGTATTCAAGTACCCATCCACTAAAGGAAATTGCCTCGGAAAAGACTGACTTTAAACGGCATGAGGGCTGAAAGAGCTTTCGGACCTCAAATTGCCTCAGAGGCCTTTTTGTCTATAATGGGACTTGTTTAAATAACTTAAGTAAGAGAAAGATCATTGAATTATAAAACCATGATAGTCAAAAAGAAGGACTTTAAGCGCATCCCCTCTGTTTGTAAGTATAAAATTGCTTGGAAGCCTGTCCTCAGACAAATTTACCAGCAGTTTTCTAGCTAATTGCATAACTGATCTGTTATCGAAATATAGTTTTAGTTTGCGAACATAATCTTATCAATTCATATTTCAAGTTACTTCCCGTAAAAGCGCTCGAGAGACTTTTGTGTAATTGCCTAAACGTTGTGGATCTAGTCCTAACGAGGGTCGTGGAATAATATTTATCCCATTCATATAGGCATGCTTTCAAAATAGCTGGAAGTTGCTGGTTCATTTACAATTGTTAATTCTGTCGGACCCCGTTTGTCTAACTGAAAGCAAGCACTGCGATATTGTTTGTCAAAAATGATGACCGGAAACGCTAATAAAACGTTAATATACGCTGCACTTGGTATGAATTTAAGGTTTTGGGGTTCCGAAGAGATTTTCTGCGCGGGCATCTCATACAATGGTTTATTAATATGGTTCATGTTTGACAAATTAGTAATTTCATATTTAATTTCTGTAATGTGATCTTTTTTTGAAATGTTTGGTCAGCGTGACGTCCGGTCGGATTTATTGAGACAAATTAGTACATTTATGGGCATTTCAAAAAACTATCTTAATGACCTTGGTTACATTTGCTCCAACGCCATTTAAACGGGGACTATGCAAGTGACCGAATTGTACCCTGTGTACAACCAACTGGTATCCAGGCGGCAGTTCACCGACAAACGGCAAGCGGGCTCTCACGAGAATTCACCAGCATGAACTCACCGTGCTACGGAATGAAAAGCTTTCTTTGATAGCCGCTCATGCATCCTTGCTAGGACACGGTTTCGACTTCGAACTCATGATAATAGTAAGAATGTCGGACGACTGAACTTCAAGCCTACTGCAGGAAGCATGGAACTCCTGTGCGGATTTTATTAATAGGCACGTCGATCTTCCAGATGCCTATCTCGCTTTGCGCGAACAACGACAGATGTGGAGGTCACCGCCGACAGAGCTGAGCTAAATATGCAGTGAGCTGTACATTTTTATTCCTCGATAATGGACTCGCCTGAGTGTTCGAAAATGCATTGTGTATTACGACTTCCCAATGCAATGATACATTTAATATGAATTCCGAAAATAAAACAAATAAGTGACTAAATAAAAGGACTAGGATAATTAGATCAAATAACTAGCACGATTCGGGGTCGAGAGTTTAAATACCACACACTTTTAACCAAATAACCGCGGCGTTCGTATATGCAGTTTTAAAGTCATACTCTTGTTGCCTTGAACAAGGTTATAAGGCGTGGTTTCACATGCCAGGACACAGCTTTGATTTCGAACACCTGCGAATACTGGGTCAGTCAGACGACCGAAACTCACGCAGGAGGCATGAAATTCGCACGCGGATTCAAGTAACAGGCATATCGAGCATCCTGATGCCTATCTTGCGTTGCGCGAAAACAATCGATAGCAGAGCTGAAGGTCATTCCCGGCAGATTTGAGCTAAATATACAGTGAGCTGTACGTTATTTTATTCCTTGACAATGAGCTCGCGTGAGAGTTCGAATCGTCGTGCAAATATAATACTCGTCTCAGAGAGCGTTTTTCCGTCTTCTATTTAATTACCTGGGCCTCGCATATATTCGACTATTCAGAAATCAGTTTATATTTATTTGCGTAAAATATACCGCACATCATCCTCAGCGTCCTATGCGCAATGTCAAGACAGAATCAGTAAGTCCGGAGGCGGGGTCGAATGCACATGGCGCATACTGCACTCCCATTAGGGAGGGGGGCAGTTTTTTGTGAGTAAGCATCAACAGAAACGTCTACCAGGCCCCTAGGTTGGTTCAAGGCAACTTCTCTGTCACCCGCTATATGTGCTTTGTGACAAGTAAAGCTAGAACAAAAGCAGTTTCAGCAGTTCTAGCTAATTGACCTAAGAGAGGTGTGAGGCAGTCGACTTCATAATAACCATGAGTTATTGGTTGGCCTCGGAACGCCATCCAGCATGATTTTTAGTTCTGAAAGAGCGGTTATGCATGTCTACTTGCTGCTGCCTCGTTAGCATCGGGGAGACACTAAAGAAAACATCCACATGTTATGCTCCTACTGAAGACGACTGTGAGAGTACTGGACTTTCATTTGTACATTTAGTCTGTTGATGGATAAAACGGTGGAAGACGCGGGTATGTGCCTGCACATCTCAATTATCAGTGGTAGTCGTTAATACACATGAACTGCCACCAAACGGTTGAATCACTAAATTTTGTCGTTGAATTCTCGTTCAGTCAAGATGATAGTAAGAGACATCTTCGCTTCACTGAAATTCGAACAAAAATCAATTCATGGAGACTACGCAGCGAAATTGTGACCTTTAATGTCATGATGTAGTCTAAAAGACAATTGGACGGTTTACTCTTGTATAACTGGCATCTCTTGCTAAAGGACTTGTTCAGCCAGTTATGAACCTCACTTCCTGCTTTCATTCGAGCTCCACCGCATCGCTACACCTTTGGTGTCCGTAAAGCTTGTAAAGCACTATAGTTTATGCTGACTGTTTTTAATTGCATATATAATCCAAATTACACAACATTAGAAGGGCTATCGATGACTCCACCAGTAACCCACAAATTCAGACCTTTGGAATAATGTCTGCATGAATGGTGTGACAGTATAACATGCCATGAACGCCCGATTTATAGAACGTTGGCGACTTCTGCGGCCTCCGACCTAGACAGTAGGGATACCCAACGTATATTAGACTAAACTTGCTTTAAGTCATCGTCCAGTCCCCGCTTCTCTACGCCACAGACACCTATAGTTTAGCATTGCTACTAGTGGACTCCACCCATTTTCGGCTCAGCAGCCTTCGATAAATCCTAATTCTGAGACAGTTGCAGATCTTAGAATCGACCAGCACACCCAGTAAGTCTTCGTTGCAGAGGAGGGGGCAACGTTCCAGTCTCTGGACAAGAATATCATTCTAGCGGCTGACAAAACATCAACTTAACAGCAGTACTGTAGCGCGGCGGGTACCGGGGTTCATGGAAGAACACTAAGAATGACAAAGAAAAATATCCAGAGGTAAGTCGAGCTCCTCGCCTCTGTCCTTTTGACAAACACAAAATTGAGACTCGCATTGGACTCGTGGGATCCTTTCAAATCCAGAAAGACAAGCAGAACAAGGTGAACATACTTCGCTGAAAGATGCCTCATCGTAAGCGAGACTGACCTCAGAATTATGGAGGTAACCGTTCAATCAGTCACTAATGAATGGATAGTAGACAGCATTAGGAGACATTTCTTTCAGGGAGCAAAATTATTTGCGTAAAAGCCTTCTTTCTCTAAACGGCAGTAATAGTTCATTCATCCATGACAACTGACTAAGAATGCTATGACCCCAGAGAAGAGGATATGGTGAGGTATGCGTTAATGTTTTTCTGTGGTGAAATAGACTTTTAGCGCATTAACCACGCTCTTTCCCTCTTCCCACAACCCCCGCATTCCTACTACACAGCATTTTTGAGCCGACTGGGGGATAGTTGTGATCGCAGTGCGAGATGAAACTAATGTCACAACAATAAGCCTGACTTGAATCCCAGTTTCTACTCCCATATAGAGCATTTCTGACCAGTCTCAGATTTGTCACACATCAAAGCTCTATCCAGACCGACTGATGAGGAAGCCACTGCAGAGGTAAGTAGGACCCAGTTATCCTATCAGTCGACTGCACGTCAGTCTACGACTGTTACTGTATGGTGGATAGCTGCTGACCGATCGGTTACGAAACTAACTTGTCCCGTTTCCTCTTGGAGCTCACCCTCGAGCCTTGTCGGCAGTCGCTCAACGGCGCCCCATCAATTAAGAGGCATCCAAAACTTGGTAAGGAATCAGTCCTAATGTTACTAGTAATGTTATGTGGCGAACTCGAAAGGAAAAACGTTTTAATTTCTACTTAGTCATTGGCAGAAATGCATTTTACTATATATGGACCGCAATATAAGAATTAGCTGATAGAAAAAGCCTA